ACCAGACTTGGCCTTCTTGTTGGTGTAGCACATATTGTTGAGAAGTTAGTCCAAGGTCTGTGTAATAGACTTTATTTTTAAAGTGTTTGTTTCAATTTGATCTGACAACTTAGTTTGGTTGGTTCTTTATCTCTTTCCTTTCCCTACGGTCCTTATATAGTGATCTTTAACCTTGGTATTAAGGGGATGTATATCATATTTTGTTTCTAAACTATACACATTTAATTCCATATATGCGTATATACATACAGCATTTTACGTATAGTTTCAGGGCTTCTGAGAGCCAAAGAGTCCTCCTTTACACTGAAATCCAGCTTAAATATGAAGGCTTGAGGCTGAATTAGGGTGAATGAATCACTCACTGTGTATTTTGATAGCACTTAATTTACATCTCATCTTTGTTCTGTAATGATGCATTTTTCTCCTCTCTAGTTGGTAGTGACCTCTCTCTTTTTCTTTTCCTTGAATACCAAGCACACAGCACAAAACTGAGCCAATATACTTTGTATTTAGGAACTGATTAAATAATTGAGTGAATTAGACTAGATTGGAAAATTCCATGAGAATAAAGGCCATTTCTGTTTTTACTGGCTACTGTATGTTCTGCTCCTAACACAGAGCCTGACTCTTGGGAGGGATTTTGTAAATATCTGTTATGTAAAGATTGAATGACTTAGTTCTGTTCATTGGAAGTGACTGATGTATAGACTTGTGTACAGAGACTTTGTGAACAAGTGTGATGTATTTTATACCAACTTAATGTTGGATGCAGTTTGTCAATAGATACTCCTAACTGTTCCAACCTTATATCTCAGCTAAACTCTTTGTATCCTCACTTCCACTGACCCACCCATGCTACAACACACCCATCTCATGTCTTGTCTTCCATTTACTCATCTTCTTATTATCGTTTGAGTACTACGTGAGCTTTCAACTCCATGTCTTGTGTCTTTGCTTCTCTCATGTATCATGCGACATAAATGTATGGAGCATTTACCATGTGCCAAGTGTTGGGCATGTTGCTGGCCATGTGGGTATAGGATTCCTCCACCCCCACTTGCCCCAACAGGAGTAAATCTCCTACAGCAAGAGATAAACATGAAGACAGATCATTATAATAAAGTTAGTTAAGTACTAACGGGAAGGGCAAAATGATATAAGAGAGCAAGGGAGTTGTTCACACTTTTTCCTGTGCTTGGAGTGTCCCTCTCCATGTTTCCCCTCCTCCTGAACAGCTGTTAAGATTCTACTTATCTTTTCAGATCCAGCCCAGGTCTTCCTCCTGCATGAGGTTTTTCCAAATTTTTTCTCTTTGATCTTCTTCCCTCACTCCCTCACGCCAACATGCCTTTCGTAGTATTTGTTGCAATTCTCCACGAGACTGTGCATACCTACTGGTTAGGAACTGTGTCTTTTCCATTTTTGTGCCCTCACACAGTTCTTTAAAAGTTGTAGTCTTGTTGAATGGAAATGTTTGTCGTTACTTAGTCATGACATCCACCACCCACACCACACACAGCACTACCGTGATTTATTTCCTTTAAAAGTCATTTTTCTGTGCTGTTCCTTACCTATACCTATACGGTGCAGTGCGGTAGGTTGCCATGGCTACCATCGTGCTGTTGAAAAGTTGTTCTCCTGTTTAACTTCTCTCTTTTGAATTCGGAATGAGGAACTGATGGGTCAACTAAATGGATGACTTGTCTTCTAGTCAGACAAGTGGTTGCTTCATAGTGGAGTATTTCTTGTATTTGGAAACATGGTTTTGTTTTATTCTTTGGGTATCTAGATCTTTGCTCATCTTTTTTTCTAGATTCCATATAAATGATTTTGAAATCATCATAAAATTTGCAGGATTTATTTTCAGGAACAGTTTATTATGTTTAAAAATATCCTGTGTGTCTCAGGTGCATGCGCCTAAGGTCTAGAGATGCATCTGCTTCTAAGAAATAGAGAGAGCTCATCACACACTACAGGCCAAAGTTAATTGGTATTTATAGTTCAACAATGCCCTGACGCTACCTGCACTCCATACAGGCACACTAGAATGTAAAATAGTTCCTTCATTTCCTTTTCTAACAGGCTCTAGGTCTAATAGCTTTGAATTGGCTCTTTACTTTTTATTTCTTTTGATTAAAACTACTTAATTTACAGAGCTGGCCCAATAGCATAGTGCTTAGGTTCACCTGCTTTGGTGGCCCAGGGTTCACAGGTTGGGATCCCTGGCACAGACCTACACACCACTCCTGGGGACACACTGTGGAGGCATCCCACGTACAAAATAAAGGAAGATCAGCACAGATGTAGCTCAGAGCCCATCTTCCATCTTCCTCACCAAAAAGCAAAAGAAAACAAAACGAAAACCTACTTAATTTAACAATTTAGAATGGTCAGCTTTTTCAGAAAAGATTTGACTCCAAACTTTTCCATTGCTTTTTATGTAATATACCTTAATTTGAAGTTTTTTTCTAGAGAAAGCAGCTCTCCCTGGCCTACATTTTTATTCTGCGCTATGGAAAGAAGAGAAAAATCCCAAGAAAAAGCAATCAAACCACTGACACACAAGCTCAATTAATAGCCTTAAGCATATTCAACCCAAATTTTAAGTTCATCCTTATGGGTTTGGAATAAGATGAAAAGAAATGGGGAGCTAGCAAGAAGTCAACGTGCACCTGTTTTGTACCATTTTCCTTGCTATTTAGATGTGTCTGATGTCATTTCTCTGTTAATTACCAGTCCATGAAGTCAGACTCTTTGTTTTATTCAGTAGTATATTCAAAGAACCTTAAACAGTACCTGGCACATGGTTTATTGGTTAATCCCGAAAGGTGAATGAATGAATGAGCGAATGAATGAAAAGACTTTGAGTCAGAAACATTTCTTTATGTTTGTAGCCACATACCGTAAAGCCTAAAACAATGTGTTTTAAATTGTTTTTACATAAATGATACTTGGTGAGTCAAAACCAAATTTCCTTTCAACACATTCTTAAGTGCTGTTGACAAGTTCAGTACGAACAGCTAACTTATCCTGAAAAGTATTCTTTTCCAATTTACCACTAATTGCAGGAATCACCTTCATATAAATGATAGAGCCACATCACACTATGAGCACAGTGGCTGGCCCCAGACATAGCCTGTGGGCAGGACCACAGTATAGGGTGGGGAGACAGTGTCAGGTGGGATTAAAAGCAAGGACCTCAAAACAGGTAGATCTAGGTTCAAATTCCCGCTCTGACGCTGCCTGGTGCTATGACATTGGCAATTATCCTTTCTAAGCCTTCATATTCTCATGAATAAAATGGTCATGAGAGCATTCCAGACTCTCTAATCTTGGAATAAGGAATGGATGAAATAATGGAGAACACGTAAGTACATGTGTCAGTATAATTTTTCTAGCCTCAACTGACTGCTGAGAAGAGATGTTCATTTTTGTTAAAGAAGCTGGAGAAGGGCCTTTATTCAGCTGTCTGGGAAACTGAGATTAGCTCTGCTCTGTGTTCTCTAGAATATCTCTTTATCTGTCTGTCTCATTTCTTTCCACCTGTAACACTAGAGCATATTTAGTCTGATCTGTCTACTTCACAGGGATTTAAGAACAGCTAAGCTAACAAATGAGAGAAGAAAATAGCTTTGAACTGTTTAAATGAAAGAAGCCACAAAAATCAAATAGAGTTCTATAGATAGTCTAAACTAATTTAAACCAAATCTGACATAAATTCTTTGTAAGAGTGCAGGCCTTTGTGGCCTTATACTTTGTGATAACCTAAGGCTACTGAAATCTTTTGCTAATGTGACAAGTGTCTGGAAACACTGCTTATCAAACCAGGATAAATTGCATTCAGGAAATAACTTAACTGCACATATATCAGCTTACTCTTGCTGATCATCTCCATGAATCAAAAGTTTAGTGCTGTTCTAAAAGACGTATTTCCTGTGACAAAGAATTACAAAATATGCCACTTAGTGTAATTGTCATATTTCAAAACACATGCTCCAGGAATTGAAGTAAGAAAACCTTAAGTATACAAGAATTAAGGTTAAGTATGTGAATACAGGAAATAGCAAGTACAAACCAGTAATAGACTTCCAGAGTTTTAAAGGTCTAAAGGACCTTAGAGATAACCTAATCTTTTTTGTCACAGATGAATTAGTGATTTTTAGAAGAAAAACAAACACAGTTTTTCTAAAAATAAATGTTCAACATATATTTTTGTCGCAGATGATTGTACCAAGTTTTGCTCTAAAAGAAAAAATAAAACAGTATAGACAATTAGTGGGGCTGAGAGATCCAAAGTAGGATTCTAGTTATGTTGAATGAGATATTTCAATCTCAAAATTTTAAAAATCAGCAAAGTTATATAAAAATATGAGTTGGAGCAGAAATAAACTCTTGACTCTTGGTAAGACTCATAAAATATCTCTTACTTTTAGATTCTGGAGTCTGTCATGTTCAGTTGTAACAAATGGCATAATAGAAGGAAAATACAAAGAAGTCTGGAAATGATTGATATAGTGATTCAACAGAGTGATCAAGAATGTCACACTCAGACATCTAAATTGGGACCTAGTTTGTCAAACAGAGTGACTGGGTTCCTGCAATAATAAAATCGGTGAAGAAATGTAGAAAAATGAAAAAGAATTGTTTAAGTAACAGAGCATGCAGTTGTTTAAGTTGCCTTAGATGTTTTTTAAAACTTTAACTTTCCTTCACTATTAACACGGAATTCCCAGAATTTGAATACTGGATCCTGAGACAGGAAGCTTATGCTTTTGAATTCATATCTCCATTCAAAATTTTTATTTTCTTTTGCAGAAAATATAACGAAACTTATTGCATTCATTCTTTTGCAGAAACATACTCGACCAAAACTGTTTTGTAAAAGACACAGCCAGCATAGATATTTGTGTGTTCTGTGCAAAATTAGATGTGTATATATGTTTGTATATTTTCTATGCATGTATCTAAATAGTAAATGCATTTTCTTCTACTTCTTCTAGGGTTGTCGTAAAATAGAGGACTTTCATAATGTGGTACCTGAAGGCATGAATTTGAGTTTTCTCATAGCCTTGGTTTCAAATAATGGAGATTATACATGTGTTGTCACATATCCAGAAAATGGGCGTACCTTCCATCTCAGCCGGACTCTGACTGTAAAGGTGGTAGGTAAGCAGGATTTGTATTAACTGCGCACAACAAAAATCTTGTTTAGTCTCTTAATAGTTTATTACAAGCAAGTGTGTAAACTGTCTAAAGAAAAGAGGCGTATCTTTTTTGGTTCACTGCACTGTCCCAGAGCCTTCAGCAATTCCCTGTACATAGTAGGCATTCAGTAACTATTGGTCTACTGAAGGAATATGTGAATGAATGAAGTAAAGGCAATTTGGGCAGTAAAAAGAGTGCCAGACAGATCTGTCTTCGAATTATAGCACTGCCATTTATTAGCAATAGGGCTTTGATCAATGTCTCAGTCTGCTTTTCTGTACTCTGGGACTAAGAATACCGAACATTCAGGCTAGCTGAGAATATTAGAAACAGTGTGCGTACTATGCTAATGCAGTTCCAGGCAAGCAGTAGAGATTCGATGAATCGTAGTTAATATTATTGTCGAAAAAGTATTTTACTTGAATTAAACAAACTGTGTTTCTATATGGGAACTTTTGTAGCTAGTGTTAAAGCTATTTGCTGGCAGTGTTCAACTGTTGCTTTGCAGCGAGAGGAAAGAGAGTGAGAAACTAGGGAAGTGGAGTGAACCATGACTAGGCAGAGTCAAGAAACTCCCAGCAAACCCAGAAATCAAGAGAACCAGTTCAGTAGAGGTGGACTTAGAGGAGAGCCCTAAATACTGCTGTGCCCACTGTATTCAAAGTGAGGGCATATCAGAGTGAGACTTTCTCATACCCTGTATTTTAATAGATGGAAACATTGAGGCCCAATGACAGGAAGTAACCTGATTAGAGACACTCCACGAGTAAGTAGGAGAAGTGATTCTAAATCCAAGGTTTCAGACTCTTTGTTCAAGGCTTTTTCTACTAGTCTGACACCAGATTCAGCATAAATTTTTTAAAGGCTTTAATATAGTGCAAAAACAATTCAAATCAAACATTTCTATAATCACTTTTCCTCTCTGCTTACTTTCTGAATAGTGCTGGACTGGAGACTAATTCAGAAGAAAAATCAAATTAAATTTAGAACCTAGCATGAGTGGACTTTAAAAGTCAAATGAATAACCTTATATTCATCTTGGCAGTTGTTTCTAATAGATATATTTAAATGTATCCATTTTGGGGAAGTGAAGAACAGGCATGCTTGGTCACCCTGATTTATGATATAGAAGTTGACAAACACAGATATGGGAAGATGGATGTTTCTTATCCAACTTTCAAGCAACATAAGTTTTATTTTTTAAAACTGAAGTATTGAGTACTTATTATATACCAGTAGTGGATGCTTTAATATGCATTAATTAATTTAATCCTTACAATGAACCTATGAGATGAGTTTAATTATCCTCGTTTTAGAGTTGAAGAAAATTAGCTTTTCAAAGATTTAGTGAAAAAACGGGGTCATATGGTTAGTATATGGCCAAGTAAGTATTAGAACACCCTGGTCATTAAATATTTGAAGCTTCTGCTCTTAAACACTGCACTATAAAGCCCCTCCAGGATATTTTTATTTTAATTTAGGAATACAGGATTTTATAAAGAGCAGTAATCCTGTGAATGAACATTCAACTGATACCCAGACATCAGGTAGACGTACATGCTGGCCTCACAATTGTGATTTTGAATTTTCCATTTACTTATTTATTCACTTATTACCTACTTATTTAACCATATCCCCTGCTAGACACTGTGGGTATGTTGAGGAGAAATATGTAGAAAAGAAACAATTGAGTAAAACATGAGAGCAATTAATTGTGTAGTATGAGAAGTGTATCTCACATAAGCTTTGGAAAGCAAAACCACTGGTTAAATATTCTATCCTGAAATATGGAGGATACTCAATATGTTATGTTTGTTTCTTTGCTTGTTTTAAATGACTGAAGTGTTGTAATTGACTATATATATTGGACAATAGGCCCTCTCAAGAAGAATTGACAAACTATGCCAGGAAATTGGGCAAGGCTTCACAGAAGAGCCGATTTTTGAAATGGGTTATGAGGGATGAAGACTACGTGATTTAACATCATCTCTCTTTGTTCCTTCCTCTCTCTCACAGGTTCTCCAAAAGATGCTCTGCCCCCCCAGATCCATTCACCCAATGATCTTGTGGACTACGAGAAAGAACCGGGTAATTATAGTTGTGCCTCTGAATTGCAGTTAAATTCTCTTAATTACAAGGAGTAAAATGTCACATAGGTTAACTCAAGAGAATAGACACATGAACGAAACTGAAATGTTGTCAGAAACCAAGGCAACTCTGGGGACTAGCTAATTCATCGATTTCATGGGCAGCTCAGGGATCCTCTACTTCTCTCTTGGCAGCTGCTCTCTTCTTCCTCTGGGAGCAGTTTTCTTCTCCTGATTGGGGATTTCCATTTGATGCAAACTTTAGCTTGCACAGAGCTTTGGTTTACCAAAGCTGCAACGAGCACAAGGCATCCTTTCAGCTTCTGTTCCACTACAAAGGGGAGGGGATGGAGCTTGGAGTCAGTACTGTGAATATAATAGGCAACAACTGGTGGAATAGTGGACCCTGATTCAGAACACTGTTGAGTGTTTGCTGTGGACATCTGAGTCTCCTTTTAGTTTTCGTAATTTTTCACTTTAGACAAACATCATTGGTAACTGACCAAATAAGGCATAATTGGTTATTCTTCTGATTCAAAGCCTTCCACAGTTAAGTTGAAAACCATAGAAAATGTTAACATTTTCTATATATTATATCTTTTACAATAACTTCACTGCAAACCCAATGAGAGTATAAAAGAACATTTGTTTAAAATGTACTAAATATAATAGAGGCCATGATCAACATAGGCGGAGAAAAATACCCGATAAAAAAAAATATATATATATTAATATAATGTTTCAGGGGCCAGTCCCATAGCTGAGTGGTTAAGTTTGTGTGCTCTGCTTTGGCGGCCTGGGGTTCTCTGGTTCCAATCCTGGGAACAGACCTACACACTGCTTATCAGGCTACGCTGTGGCAGCATCCCACATAGAAGAGTTAGAATGACTCATAGCTAGGATATGCAGCTATGTGCTGGGGCTCTGGGGAGAAAAAACAAAAAAGAGGAAGATTGGCAACAGATGTTAGCTCAGGGCCAATCCTCCTTACCAAAAAAAAAAAAAAAAGCAGCTTTCAAATAGTGATCTGCCTTGTAGAAAACCAGAGAACACAGTAAGGTGTCTGGCAACTCCAAATGGACCAAATATTTTAGAATTAGCAGTGGCTTTATACAGTAATATGAACATTCTTCCTACTATCACGGTGCACCCTTATTAATCACCTAAATATGTTTTATCTACCTATCAGATCACGGTTACAAAAACATTCCTGAATCCATGTTCACCTTGTCTTCCTACATATTGATAGAGAAAACTGGAAGGGAAAGACCTCAGAACCAGGCATTGGAAGAGAAGTTAGAGTATAACCACTCAATGACACAAACTTGAGTTCACATTAGGAGGAGAATAAAATTTATCATGTAATCCCGGACACTTTTGGAGAGTAAGATCAGTCAATATTAATGACTAACTAAGAAAGCAGACGTAAAACAGAACCGTCCTGGGCAAACTGGAATGGAAGGTCAGTCTAGGTCAAATCCTAGTCTGCCACTTGTGAACAATTCGATCCAGGAATGGCATTTAATATCTTTAGACTTCAGTTTTTGCATCTGTAAAACATGAATTTAAAAAATACCTCGTGCTATTTTCTTAAAATTAAATAAGACCATTAATAAGCATAAATATTTAGTACAGTGAATTATATAGTGAGTATGCTGCGGCTGTTATTATTATTATTGTTACCATTGTCAACCTGGAGATGCCCCCCTAACCTCATGTTCCATCTCAGGATAACATAGAATTTTCTGTTTGTAAATTGTTTTTAAATTTATTGAATGCACCCTAATAGCTTGAGCATTTCAAGACACAGCCAGCCTGGCTAGTCCTCTCAGTGATGGCATTGCCCCATTTCCTTGGGCCAAGGACTAAAGAGCTGGAGAACGCTTCCTTGGTTATCTTTTCTTCATGAAAGAAATAACAGAGAAGAGCAATCCATGGAGGTTTGGGATTAAAAAGAATATTGTTGGAGCCTTTTTTTTTTTTTTTTTAATTTTTTAAATGTTTTCCAGGGAAGATTAGCCCTGAGCTGACATCTGCGGCCAATCCTTCTCTTTTTGCTGAGGAAGACTGGCCCTGAGCTCACATCTGCAGCCACCTTCCTCTACTTTATGTGTGAGATGCCTGCCACAACATGGCTTGATAAGCTGTGTGTAGGTCTGTGCCCAGGATCCTAACCGGCCTGGGCCGCGGAAGTGGAGTGCACGAACCAGGCAGGCCCCGTGTTGGAGCCTTTTTGAACAAGTATTTTCATTTTAGAACATACGTTGATTGTATCAAAAGATGGTTGTTCTAGTGTACAAAGTTTCTGCCTTTCTTTTCTTGGTTTTGTTTGTTTGGGAATGAAGTATGGTACATTGCCTTACAGAAGCCCACTTGAAAATTAGTCAGAAGTAGGGTTTTAGGTGCATGTAATTTTTATAGCTTCTAATTAGTCACAGAGTAGAACCTATATAGCCATGTGAAAGTTACAAACTGATGGGTTAATTTGTTTTTTTTTAGGAGAGGAGCTACTCATCCCTTGTAAAGTCTTTTTTACTTTCCTGAAGGACTCTCGCAATGAGATTTGGTGGACCATTGATGGAAAAAAGCCAGATGACACCACTCTGGACGTAACTGTTAATGAAAGGTATCCTTGGCGCAGGCAGGGGGGTGACTAACCTTTGTCCCTCAATCTAATGCCCTCTGGTGTATACTAATCAATGAAAATTAAAATTCTCATTTTTGCCTATCGTTAACAAAAGTCAGCAAGATTTTCAAGTCTTTAGTGGCTGCATTCCAAAGCAGGATTACTGGACTTGCAACCTGAGGCCCAGATGCCATCTGCTGATCACACATTTATGATACCCACTTAAAAGTAGATGGAATGCATATCTTGCATGAATGAAAAGGCTACAATATAGGATTGTGGGTAGATGAAAGCCTGTCAGTGTGGCCCTGTTCTTCTCGTTCTCAAGTTTGGAGTTCAGGCGAATGTATTCGTGCTTCAGATAACTGTTAGTTTCTTGTCTTACACTAGGCATGTGTTTCCTATCTTCTTCCTCCTGTTCTTTAATTCACACAGTATGTATGTCACATTTATCGTTGATGGGTATTTTTTTAATATTGATCAAATGCATTTATGTTCTTTAAATTTTATTTTAAAAGTGCATGGGGTAGTGATATAGCTCACTCTTAAAATAACAACCTGGGTCATTTTATTTTTAAACAAACATGAGTTTCTTTTGAAGGGGATTGGTTGGTAAGGAGGAAAATATGGATCTTTGAAGACAAAAGGTTCCGCTATAAATAAAGCATACCACTGCAAGAGAACAATTGGTTCTCTGCAGCAATTAATAGAAATAAGCAGCTGACCACCTACATGACAAAGTAATTCCAGGACCTTAAGCCTTATCAGGATGTGCATATAGATCTTAGGCTATCTGAACTTCTAGAATTTAAAGGATATTTCTTTCCTAATAGTAAACTCGGACTTTTTGCAGAAGTTATAAAATGTCCACCTTGCATCCAGTACTATGCAAGGTACTTAGTCCCAAACTAGGTAGATTTTACAGGAGGAGCAATGATAGAGCAGAAATTTCAATATAATGTGATGAATGCAATGACTGGGAAGTATTGGATGTTATGGGATGTTTTATTTGGGGATTCCAGGCAGTTTTAGAGGGTTAGGTGATGTTTCTCAGATGGTACAGCACCTAAATAAAGATTTGAAGGATGAGAAGAAATTAACTAAAGAAATGGAAACACTATTCCTGGTAGAAGGAGCATCATATGCAAAAGCCTGGAGGTTAGAGATGCAGAGCATATTCAGAGGTACAGAAGCAGCTTCCTAAAATTGGAGCAGTTTTGGCAGAAGTAAATTGATGAAAATTGATAAATTGTGGCTGGAGGCACAGAGGAAGAATTATTGATCATTTCAGTAATTCTGAACAATGTGCTTCCTAGCCTCATAATGATAATGAATGAATACTAATGAAAGTCATGCTGTTGCTCCTTGCTGCTATTGAAACATGTAATGTTCATAGCTGAGCCGTGCAGTTAAGCTTAGGCTAAACCCTTGGCAGCCCTTAACCAAGTTCTGGAGACTAACCATAAGCCTTATCAGAAGGAGAATCTGGGTGGCGGTCAGCTGTAGGAGAGATATTTTTTTTCCCTTTTGAGCAAAGTAGTTCAAAGGGATTTTTAAATCTTGATCTTGTACCCAAAGCACTTGAGCTCTGCCTTCCTGAGATTTGGATATATTTATTTTTACAAAGTTCACTTGCTCTGAGAAGTTTCTTCTTTTTATATATTAGTATTTAACTGTGAGTTTTCAGTATTTTGATCAAAATATTCTATGTATGTTCAAAAGCCAAGCTTTGGGAATTCCTGAAGTGCATCAACTATTATTGTGGGATAATAGTAATAGCCTGTATGAGTATTTATTAAGCATTGTTCTAGTACTTACACATTAACATACTCAATCCTCAGAATTCTTGAGAAAGTTAATACGTGTAATGCACCATGTAGGCATTGCTACTTTCCTCTTTTTCAAAGGAAGAACTCAAGATGTGGAAAGATTGTTACCCTGCCCCAAGTATATAGTCAGTAAGTGGTAAAGCTTGGACCAACACCCAAATGGTTCTGGCCTCAAAAGCTTCCTGCCTCAGAAGTATGAGGGAAGGAGATATTTTGCCTTGAAGAGAGATCTATAGTATGATATGCCAATGCTGAGATTTGATCTAGGTTTTGGGACTGTGTGTAATATAGATGATAAAGAATAGTGTTGGATCTGGAAGCTATTCTCCTTTTGTAACTGTTGGATCACAGGCAGCTCAGCATATTGAATTCAGTCTACTCTCCCCTAGGGGCTCTGTAGTTGTCTACTTGTCTGATTCACACACAGCACATGGCCCTTCAGTCTCACTAATGCTTTGATTTTCTTTCCCCTGTTTCTAGTGTAAGTCAGACTCTAACAGAAGATGAATGGAGAACTCAGATTTTGAGCATCAAGAAAGTTACTGCTGAGGATCTCAAGCGCAACTATGTCTGTCATGCTAGAAATGCCAAAGGGGAGGTTGACAAACCAGCCAAGGTGAAACAGAAAGGTAATGGATGCATTCAGCGGATGAATCCGTGAACTCCAAATGTAACATTGTGGTGAATAAAGAAAAAAAGAAGTTGAGAAGGAAAGCGCTCCAGCTCCTAGTACATCTGACGTATAGTAGTGAATCAAAATTGAATGAAAACTCTTGAGAGAAAGTTCCTATGTATGTAAAGATACTCAAAATATTGTTTCTAATAGTTTTAGTAACTTAGTGCCCAAATGTGACTAAAAAATTCATATTATTGTGATAATGAGGCATAGTCATAAAAAATAAAGAAAATATTCAAAACTGCTAAAGATATAATAAAACTGGTAGAATCACATATTGTTGGTGAATTGTAAAGACCCTTTTAGAAATCACTGATGGCAGAGTTCAAGAGTCATAAAAATGATCATACCATATGACTTAGTACTTTGGGAATTTTTCCTGACCAGCAGAAAGAGATTTATGTACCCATCGATATTTTTAGAAGCATTTTCTATAATAATGAAGCATAAATAGCAGCCATGTAATTGTATGCAAGTAAAGTATGCTATATTCTCAAAAATATAATTTTAAAACAATCTTTTTAAACACTATGTATTAATATTCAAGCAAGTTTATATAATATACCACTAGCCACAGTTGCTTAAATAAAAATTATTTAAACTATGACTTAAAATGATGTAAAAATAATTTCTATCTTGACATTACTATATTTTTCTATAACAAATAAAAATTATAAAGCTTTATTGTGTGAGCTGTTGCTCCTGAAACAGACTGTGTCTAAAATTCTCTTTGAGTCTCTCACATAACGCAGAACCGCAGACAATTAATCCCTTCAAGAATGTTTTTCAGTGATCTGGAGAAAGATAATGATGATTTATCACACATTCAGTCAAGTTGTTCAGAATCATCCTGGATTCTAGTTCAGATATAGCCTGTAATATTTATATCAAAAGTAAAAAAAAAGTTAATTTATAAATGTTACAGTTTACAATGGGTTTAAACCTTTTTTAAAGCTGATGAAAGGCTTCACCTTAACATTTCATTACAATTTAGAAAGAGCAAAGGCCCGAAGTGTATATGCCTCTTAAGAAGTCTCAGTGGATTGGTTCTGGATAGTTCATTGCTTTTGCACCTTGGAAGCCAGTGTAAAGAGAGAAGGCTGAACTACATAATATAAAGGGGTGTTTCCCAAAGTTAGTTCCTAAGAACACTGCTAAGACTCTATCGTATTGCAATTCGTTATTTGTACTCTAGACTCAGATAGCCTGTATTGGAATTCTGGTTTCTGTGCATCCTGACTCTCTGACCTTAGAAAAAAGTCACTTAACTTCTCTGAGCTTCAATTTCTTTATACTTAAAGTAGGCAAAATAATTACACTACCTCTTAAATTCCTTTTAAAGTACACAGCAGAGTTATTGGCATATATGCACGTATATTAAATGATCGACAAGCGTTAGCTCCTCTTACAATTATTTCCACGAGATTTTCATAGGTGTTATTTGACAAAAGCTTTTATAATCAAGTAAGTATCGTCAAAGTCTAGGTTAAACAAAACCAATCAAGTCACTTTAATTCAGGGCCCCTTAGAGTCTCTACTAGATTAACGTTGTGTGTGAATATCTGCAGGGGGCTGGAATATAGCAGGAAGGATTTTTTCAAACATATTTGACTCCAGATTCTTTAAGTATGGAAGATTTTGTGGGACTCATCTTCTGAGGCATGTGTTTTGGGAAATAGCTATGGAGGATGACAGGAGTTAGTAACTTATTGTCAGATGGAGAGAATCAAAACAATTAATTAAAATAATGTTTAATCTAGGAGTGATGCGCAAATCTGTCCCCCAGACCTACTTGAGTAACTCCCTTCACAGAAGTCTTGCTCTGAGTGGTTTAGTATGAACGTCATCAGGAAGGTGAAGTGGAAAGTACATCCACTAGACCAGATGATCTGTGCTAGAAGGTGACCTATAATCCAGTCGGGTCTGTGTACATCCAATGGTATCAGAGATGTTGTGGGTTTGTCTACTTTTATTCTGGGCCAGCTAATTCTGAAACTCAGAGGTGATGTCTGTGTCCACATCCATATGTTTTATGTGTGAGTCCTTCTCCGAATTCATGGGCAGAGCATTCTGTGTACTTCATCAAAAAGATGACAGGAAGGGGCTAGGGCCTAGAATGAGAGGAGTTCAGCAAGCTGGGTCTTACTCGGGACAATAGTATTCAAGGAGAGGCAGCTAATGTAAAGGGATTAAACATGCATTGTTTCCTGGTAGGAGAGTGGTAGGGACTAAGGCAAGTTGTGTATTGAACTGTTTGAGAACCTGCCAAACCTATTTCCAAACAGATTATACTGTTTTACACTTTCACTAGCAATGTGTATAATTCCAGGCACTCTACTTCCTCATCAACTTTTGGAGCTGTCAAACTTAAATTTTAGCCATGCTAGTAGATGGGTCCTGGTATCATACTGTGTTTTTAGTTTGCATTTCTCATGTATTAATGATGTTGAGCACTTTTTCATGGATTTATTGACCATTAATTAATAGTTGTTTTTGTGAAGCGTCCATTAAAATCTTTGGCCCATTTTGTTATTGGGTTGCTTGTTAATGAGTTGTAGGAGATACATATGTGTATATGTATAATCACCTTTGTCAGATATATGACTTGTAAATATTTTCACCTCGTTTGTGAATTCCTTTTCTTTTGATGAGCAGAATTTTAAAAGATTTGATGGGGGCAGGCCTGATGGTGTTAAGTGCATGTGCTGTGCTTCAGTGGCCCGGGGTTGGCAGGTTCAACTCCTGGGCATGGACCTACTCACTGCTCATCAAGCCATGTTGTGGAAGCGTCCCATATACAACATGGAGGAAGATTGGCACAGATGTTAGCTCAGGGCCAATCTTCCTCACACACAAAAAAAGAAAGAAATTGATGGTGTCTATTTTACCAATTTCTTCTCGTATAGTTAGTACTTTCTAAATCTTATATTAGCAATTGTTGATTTATAGATTTTTCTTTTGTACTTAGACCTATGATTCATTTCAAATTAATTTTTTATAGTGTGATATATGAATTAAGGCTTAGTGGTGGTGGTGTTTCCATATAGAAACCAGTTGTTCTAGCCTCATATTGAAAAATCTCTACTTTTTATTGAGTTGAATGACAACTTGGCCAAAAGAAAAATAAATTCTGAATGTGGGTCTATTTCTACATTCCCTGTCCTGTTCTATTAATCTGCTTGTCTATCTTTACTTCAGCATTACTTTGTCTTGATTAACAGCTTTAAAGTAAGTCATAAAATCAGATACTCTATGTTCTCCTTTTTTCTTTTCCAAGATTGATTTGACTATTCTAGGGACATATATTTTTTGTATAGATTTTAGTATCAGTTTGTCAGTTTCTACATAAGACCCTGCTGGGGGCCTGCCGGTCGTGCAGCGGTTAAGTGTGCACGTTCCACTTTGGTGGCCCGGGGTTCACTAGTTCGGATCCCAGGTGCAGACATGGCACCGCTTGGCATAAGCCATGCTGTTGTAGGTGTCCCACATGTAAAGTAGAGGCAGATGGGCGCAGATGTTAGCTCAGGGCCAGTCTTCCTCAGCAAAAAGAGGAAGGTTGGCAGCAGATGTTAGCTCAGGGCTAATCTTCCTCAAAAAAAAAAAAAACCTGCTGGAATTTCATTGGGATTGCATTAAATTTATAAATCAATTTGGGGACAATGGAAATTTTAACAATATTGAGTTTTCCAATCCATGAACATGATATAACTTTCAGTTTATTTAGGTCCCATTGAATTTTCTCAGCAATGCTATTTCTTTTTAGCTTTGAGTGTACAGGTCTTGCACACATATTGTTAAATTTATCCCTAAATATTGTGTTTTTGATGCTAATATAATGGTATCTTTAAAATTTCATTTTCCAATTGCTGATTGATAGAAAATAGAAGTGAAATTAATTAATTGTTATGTTTTTATCTTGGTCCTTTGAACTTTCCCAAATACACTAATTAAATAGAATTTCTGTTTGTTTTCTTTTTTAGGTTTCTTAACTTTTTCTACACACTTGACTATATCATCCATAAGTAAACAGACTTTTACTCCTTACTTTCCAAACTTTATAGCTTTCATTTCCTTTTCCTGCCTGTTTCACTCTTTTTGACCTCCGTACTGTGATCGGTAGAAGTTCTGAGAACAGCCATTCCTGCATTGTTCCCAGTCTTAGAGACCAAGCATTCAGTTTTTATGTTAAGTATGATGTTATTTGTAGGTATTTTGTAGATGATCCTACATGAGGGCTAATCTTCTGTTTTGGGTTTGCTGAGAGTTTTTTCTTATAATGAGTGTCTGTTGAAATTTGTCAAATTTGTATCTTCATCCATTGAAAGGATCATATGACTTTTTAATTTTGTCAATGTGATGGTTTATAGTGACTGACTTTGAACTGTTGATCCAATCTTTCATTCCCGGGATAAACCCCCACATCATCATGAATTATTTTCCTTTTTATATGTTGCTGAATTTGATTTACTAATATTTTGTTAAGGATTTTGCTCATGTTGACGATTTTGCTCATATCTTTGTTCATGAAGGATATTGGTCTGTAGTTTTCTTTTCTTGTAATACGTTTGACTAGTATCGATCTTATGCTGGCCTCGTGGTATGAACTGGATGATGTTCCCTCCTTTGCTATTGTCTAAAAACTTATATGTAAAATTGATATTGTTTCTTGCTTGAATATTTGAAAGTTACCTATGAAACTATCAGGGCCTGTTGTCTTCTTTATGATAAAGATTTTAATTATGAATTCAGTTTCTTTAGTAGTTATTCAGATTTTCTGTTTCTTCTTCAATTTTTTGAATTTGTCTTTCAAAGAATTTTTTTCTGTTTCATCTAAGTTGTCACATTTTTGGCATAGTTCTTTTACATTATTTCCTTATTATCCTTTTAATGTCTGCAAGATCTATAGTGTTTCTCCTTTTGTCATTCCTGATATTAGTAATTTGTATTTTTGCC